ATCAGACTTTAAATAATCAATTGGGTCATAAAATGACCGGTTAACTCCCCGGTTAACTTCAAATGCAATAATACATAACTTATTATGTTTAAGAATATTAATCGAATACAATAGATCACTTTTTATATTCAAAAGCCATAATAATTCTCATAATTTTACAAGTAATATCGATAATGCGATATCACAGTATGAGTGTTCGTGAATTTCATTTATGCAACGAAAATATTGTTTATTATAAAGATAATATAAATTAGTTAAAATGGAAAAGAATTACAATTCAAAGAGTTATTTCAACATTTCCTAACAAGGTGTCATGATTTTTAGGTTACAATATCAACCAGGCACTTATGTTTGTGTTATTAATGCTTAATGTAAGTAATTGCTTAAAGATCAACAATTTAATGATAAAATTAATTTATGAATTACCAAATTTAAAAAAAAACATTAATAAGAACTACATTTTATTTAAACATAATATTTACAATATTTTTTTTAAAACAAAATAAGATTGTGTTATAGGACGAGGTATATTTTGTTTTTAATATTTTGAACTCCTGTCTCTGAAAAATAACCGACAACCACGCATATGCTCTTTTGTGTGTCCTAATCCAATAAAACTAATGCCGGAAGAAACTTTGACAAAGTCATAGAATAAAAATGAATATTTTCCAAATCTTCTTTTTATGGTGGAAAAAAAATCATATGCTTAAAATTTTATACATTTGTTTTTTCATAACTTTACTCATTTTAAAAATGAATAAATAATCTACATCTTTATTTCTTTTGGGGGTGAAGGAAATGGGATTACTTTGCTATGTTTCTTTATTCTATATCAGAAATGCTATAAATAAATGTGCAAATTGAATAAATCATGCGTGGGACGCTCTTCGATAACAAGGAAAACAAGTCTTCATGTAAACAAGTCTAAAAAGTGATTACAATTGTAATGAGATTATATGTTATATAAAAATAAAGTTTCAAAGACGAAATAATTAAAAAAATATATGGAATTCAATACGATATTTTCAAAATTTTGCATTTACTATCCAAATATGTTTTCATTTACCTACTATGCTTAATGTCTTAAAAAAATTAAGATTATAATTTTTTGAATTAAGAAGTTAATATTAATTTAAAAAATCGCATTTAATTTCCCAATATTTAAATGAATAGTTTATAGAATAATTTTATTTCTTTTCCGACATAAATAACTTTAAGCCACTTTTAAAACATAAATCAAATTGCAAATAAAATTCAAAGACTAAAAAAAAAACTTCATTTAATTGCTCAAAAACCCTTTTTGTTAGAGATTATTGGTCCGTCTATCCACGATCCTTATATCTTTTCGTCTTAACTTCCAAAAAGTCACGTAGCTGCGGTCTAGTTAGATATAACTTGTAGGAATTACTTGTCTTTTTAATTCATTTCCAGGTTGTTGCTTTAACGTTACAGCTGTATACGACAAACAAGCAAATAAAACGTACCGAAAGGGAATAGAATTCTGTAGAAGAGGTTTATAATGCGCCAATCTATCTGTCTTAGTTGATACAAATTAGATTTTCGATTTAAAATAGGGGGCTAAAGCAAGGATAAGCAAGAAAAATCAAATAACTGTGACACACCAGAATAAAAAAGTATAGCCAATACCATAAGTCCTTGAATTCCGAGTAAGTAAGTTTGAGTTTGCTATTGTATAATACTGTTCTATACTGTACAGTGTAGGCTGTATAAGTTGTTTGTTAAAGATACTATTACTTATATAATACATTATATTTGACCTGCAAAAGAATGTATTTTTTCGATAAACTGATAGACTTTAATTCTTTAAAGGCCTGGTGTCATGATTTTATCCGTGTTTGTTAAATTATATTAATAGTTTTATATTTTTAATTTTAATAGTTTATTTAAAATACAGGTTTATCATAAGAAAATCACATTTTACTATTAAACCCTAGAGGCATATTCGTTTAACTATTCGTTATTTGAAGCTGCGGTCTCGAGATAATTATGATTTTTATAATTAAGGCTCTCATTATTACAATTATGGAGAATATATTTTCAAATTTTCAAATGAAAACACCAAATACTAACTTCTTGCATCGAAAACTAAAATTGAGAGAAAAAAAACATAAATTGGAGTTACAATTTTTTAATATGAAAACAGTGGCATTTTCAGAGATGTAGAGACCAAGAAAAATCATGCAAATCAATCTGTTTTCTTTACTTTATCATTGTTTTCAGAACATGCTCTGCAGACTTTAATCTTTGACTGATCGAAAACGTAGAATATATATTTTTCTTTAACCCTGCTTAGCGCCATCATTTTCCATGCTAAAAATATCTTTCGAATTCTTTTTTTTTCCTGCGAGTACAACGTTTCTCTGAAAACATGTGGGTGTTGGCTTTCGTAGATTTCGAAATTCTTAAGTAATTCTAACCATATTTAAATAGCCATATGTAAATTTACTTTCTTTAAATTGATTCTTAAATAAATTCGTCGCTAGAGGTTTATATAAAAGAGAATTTTTTTATATATATATAACTATTCTGAATACTGTCGATACAGTTGAAATTGATTTCAATTCAAAACGTAAACAAGTAAACAGGAGTTGTTCATTAACCTTATTAATTCACTTGAAGTATGCGAGCTCAATGGTAAATGTATAGCAGACAGACGAAAATGAAAATATGCATATTCTTAAAAATAAAATTTTATTCCTTAATGGATTAAAAATTTAAATTCAAAAATGTAACTGCATCATATAATTTACATTACTCTAAATATTCTTAGAACGCATGCGATTTTCTTGAGAAAAAGTATAAAAATATTGAGTTTGGTAGAAGAAATAAAAAACGCCACTCTTTGAGTAACATTTTAGAAAACGGATCCAAAGTTATCGATATTTTCAAAAACAACTTTTCGGAGAAAAAAATAAACAACCAACATGTAATTTCAAATGCAGTTCCACTAATGCGTAAAGTTAGAATTTGTCGTTACGCCATATCTTTTTATGTGTGCTTAGATTATAAAAACCTGAACATTTTTTTGTAAATTACGGAGGGCCAAACGGATATCTGCACCATAAAAATCCTGACTCGAAACATCCTTGCTTTTTTACATTTTTCTGATGCAAACAAATTTTTCCAGATATTTGTTTCGTTTCCACAGAAGCCCATTTAGAATTCTTTTTTTTTCTTCAGGAAAAACAATATTTTCTAGATTCAAACAAGAACACGCTAACACAAGATGTTTTTTAAGCTTTAAGTTATTTTTCTTCAAACAAAAGTATCTACAAAAAGGAAGTTAAAAAAGCTAGAGATAAATCATGTGAAAAATCACGTTTTAGGTTATTTTTTATTTCTGATTTAAACTCATGCTATACGTTGAAATGTAACATTGAGAAAACAAATTCTCGCTAGCCTAAAGTTAATCTTAATTTTTAAATCATAAATTTACTCATTACTGTATGTTATTAGCTTCTATAACAACTAAAATACTTAATTTCGCAGTTCGTGTGTTTATAGAACTTAGGCATATTAAAACGCTTATATACATCGTTTATTAGTAAATTAGAAATAATTATTTAAGCATGTGTTATACTAGCTATTGAATAATTTATCAAAAATAGTTAAAATGTAAATACAGATTCAAAAATCTTGATAATTTACATAAACATTTTAGTGTATATCAGTTGAAGGCAGCTTTCTAAAACGGGTGAATGTGCATCAGTACATAAGCACTTTAATACTTATTAGTGATAAATTATTCTAACTAGGTTAAAATATTTACGATAGTGTTCCCCAATAGATGATAAGCATAGGCTATTGCGAAACTCCAAATCAGTGTTTTCTGATGCATATCAAGTCATTCTATTTGAAATATTTGCATGGATCACTGTAAGTTTTGTACTTACACTACAAAAATATAGAGTTTAAAAATGTGAATTTAAGAAAGTCATAGAATAGTTTTTCGCATACAAAAGCAAGTCATTTGTCACTTAACAGATTTTTGAGATATTTTTGAAACTTTTAGAAGAGAAACTACTCACACAGGACACTGCAGTTCCTCCTATTTCATTTTCCTTCCATTCATTCCATTTTTCGTTTAACTGATTTTTCAAAATTTTAAATTGTAATATTTTTAATAATAATGAATTTTGGGACATTAAGTACATGGAGAAACTATCGTAAACGTAATGAAGTTATAAGATTGACATCCTTATTAATCTTAATTGAAATTAATATCAAGATTCTGATGATTATTACTGACAAATATAACCCTAAACTTTCCATGTGAATGAGTTACTTACAATGTGTATTAAATTTGTATGAATTTGTTTTAAAATGCAATCTATATTAAGAAGTTTGAACTTATTTATTTGTATGAAAATTGATATTTCATACTTTAATGTGAATTTTCGTTATTAGTTTAATAAATATCAAAAAATGCATGAAATGCAATATATTTTATACATATTTTTTCAAAAAATACATGCTGTGTCTAGTTAACTATCCATTTTATCCTAATATAAATACGATTCCATGAGTGAGAAGCAGATACATTCCAATATTTTGCTTTCCATTCGCATTAATAATACTTTAAAATTAAAGTAAACGCTTAATCATCTGAAATGCATGATGTAATATTTGTATTTAACAGCTAATAATCATAATATAATGTGGTTATTAAACATTATATTATAAGAAGGGATTTTAAGATGGGGATGAAAATAGAGGTATGAAGTGCAATGCTAATTTAAAGAAATCTATGAAGAAATTCAAAAATAGTAGCTACTCATAAAGAGAATCTATTAAAGTGTTTCAAAATATTTTTATGTAAACATGCATATGGAATGATAAATTACTTTTTTTCTACGTTTTCGGCTACGACATATCATATACAAAAGAAGTACGATTTCTTACATTTTCCACATTTCTGTTATAATAAGAAATCATAAAATACTCTCTCAGGACTTATAAAAACATTTTCTCTTTTTTAGATATTCAAGATAAGATTCTAGTCACGGATGTAAGATTGCAATGCAATAGCAATTTTGGCGCCTACTTGGGCTCGATTTCCAGTGAAAGAGAATCCAAAAATATTTATTGGAATTCCTGAGTTCTGAGGAGGACTTAAGCATATGCAATAATAAAATATTTCATTTCAAATTTCTGATTTTTTTTTTATTTACCTTGTTTTACATTGTATTCCATGAAGATTAAAACAAATGGAAGATACTACGTTTATATAGCTTGAAATATGCAATAAAATAATTTTTAAAAAATTGGAGAAAATAATAAAAAAATTGGATAATAATAATAATTAAATAATAATAAAGATAATAATAACAAAATTGGAGAAAAAAAACGCAGTAATAAGAATCTATTAATTATACAAAAGTGGAAAGCAATAATATAGAAAATTAGAAAAATAATAAAAAGGAAACATTTAGAAATGTATTGCTGTTAAAAGCAATAAAAGAACCTTACATTGTTTAAGATAGATTCTGATTAATTTAGTAACAATTTTTTCTTTATTTTTGCTTATTTATTTTTTTCTCTCAATAGATATTCTTTCCATCTTTGAGGATTATCAGTATAATTAGCAATGTATTTTATTATTTGGTTTATTAATTTATCCATTCATTTATATTATTATGTTTCATTTCGTCATGCTAACAATTTCAATTCATTTATCAGTAACTTTGAATGTAATGCAGATGTTTCAACAAAACTATTCATAGAGCCATGAGCACTAAATTTGATTTTTAAAGTGGAAGACATTAGTCGTTCAAAAGATCTGTTAAAACTTTTAAAATTTCTACTTATAACGTAATCACAACTGGAAAAATCTAGAAAGAAAATTATGTTTAGGCGAAACTAATTTAGTTTTCAACAAATTAGATTGTCAGATAAATTTGTCTGAAGAAAACTTGTCATGGATGAAATTATTTTCAATATTTTTTTTATTATTAATTTTAAAATAATTGGAAAATTTTATAAAGAAAGGTTTAAAAAAACTGAGCATACACTTTAAAACAGTACCTCTGGTTTCAGAGGTTGTATCAGAATTTTAAAGGAACACTGTACCTTTAAACTTTAAAGGCACAGTGTGACTATCATTCTACATTCTAGTACTGATTTTAAAGCACATATATCCAAGGTAGTACATATGTGTCTCTGCTATTTATTTAGCTATGTACTTCTTTACCATACATGTATTTAGGCGATATCGTCTATTCACGTTTTTGACGCATTTACATATTGATATCTTGCTCCATTTTCAGAATTAACATAGTGCACTGGAAACAGATGGACAAAACTTAACAGTTATAAGTAAGTATTTATCTACCAAAAGTTTTATGATAGCGCTTAGAATTATTCAGAAAACGCTATTTTATATTATATCAAATCTTACATACAATAATGATGAAATACAAACAACATAAACTTAATATATGCCATAAAGAGTACACTATAGGCGTAAACCCACATCAGATGATTTCATAATCCGATATACATTCCATGGGGAATAATCCATATTAAATATGCTTATTATGGGAATAATCCATATTAACACTATGCACCCATAAGATATTTTTCCATTGCCCACCTAGACAATGTCCGTTCCTCATACAGGCATTTCAAGGGCAAATTTGTTGACCACTCTTTCAGGGGCACTATATTAGGTGAGTCAACAGTAAGGACACGCAGTGTCTCCCATAGTTAGAACAGATAGTACAGGGAAGGATAGAACAGCCATGCCTTGAACTGTTCTCGAACTCAGAACCTTTCTAATGCAAGGTCAGTTTCCTGACCACTACAGAAGCCGGTCGACAGCACCCACAATATAGCTTTAGTTAATTTAGGCCATAAGTCTAGATCCACCTTACAGCCGAAAATACTACAGTATTAATGGCAGTTATAATCGGATTCCGGAAATGAAGTGCGTGAAAATGATGCGCGTATACCGAAAACGTTCTGCACATGCGTAGTTTAGCCTCATGTACTGCTGAAAAAGAGCTTTACCGTTTTAAAGGTACAAATTAGGCAAATTTTTTCAGTACCTTTCAACGGTGGAGAGCCATTTTTGTAACTTTCATTTCCATGTTGTTTTCCAGAACTCCTATATCAAGAAAATAAATGGGACAATTTGTTTTTATCTTCAATTTTAATGGTTTTTAGAGTGTATAGAAATTTAGTCTTTTGCCTGATTCATTTAATCACTATTTCTTATAATCATAAATATATAAACATTGATTTAGTGTTTTTGAATTGCCAGTGGTGGAAATATTAACAATTAATATCTATCCAAATCATTTTACTTTTGAAAATTTTGTAGAATACCTCGTTTAAATGCATGCTATAAAAAGCGTCTCCTTTTGTCATAACTATAACGATGTAACATATTAACCAAACATACTGAACAAAGCTAACAATTTTATTTAAATATCTTTCTCTTATTTAATTTATCATTATTAAAGTTTGTAAGCTTTCAATGAAAAATATATATTATTACATTAAAGGTACAAACATCAAAAAGATCTTAATGATAATTAACAATGAAGGAAAGCTCATATTCCATTTAATTGAAAGACAAATAAAAATAGTTTATTAAAATCATTGATACAAGTTTTACGCAATTCGCACTTTATACTCATTCATTCAAAATAATTATATTATGTTTTTTAAAAAAAAGTAATGTATACATGTAATTGAATAAACGCTTATTTACTATTTTTATGACTTTAAAAAGCTAAGTAGCTTATCCAAACAGTTCAAGATAAAATAAACAAAACTTAAAATATCCATTATTTCTTTTTTTTACTTTCGCATTGTTATAAACATATTTTTATTTCATTGCTTTCTTAACTACCTGATTTATTGTTAAGTTGGATGCATCCCCCGCATTCAAATTCTTTTTAACTCTAACATTGTAACATTGTTCGAACACTCTTCGTAGGCGAAATAAAGATAAAGAGAAGACCAAACAGTAAAATGTTTAGTCTTTGTCTAGACAGACTTAGAATATTCTAATGCGTTACATGTACACTACCCTACAATAATGGGAAAAAACATTTTCAATTTTTGACATTTCTTTAAATTTCTCAAGAAATACTTCGGTAATTATTTCGTAAATTTAGAAGCGTTTAAGACATGCGACTTTTCATACTTATCAGTAAGGCTTAAAGTTTTCAGAGGCTTGAGAAACCGGCAAAAAATTACGAACGAAAACAAGCATTTTTGAACACCTTATGTAAAAATATATCATTTAGCTTGTAATTTGCATCTGTTATTTTGTTGTTATTTACTGTAATTGCATAAAATTTCATAAACCTAGCTTTAACAGAAAATTTGAAATTTTTATAAAAAAAATTCTAATCTATTTGTCTTTTGGCTGTATTCAATAAGTACTCAAAATATTCAATACAATTTTTAACAACATTTTTGGAGTGATTTTGAACTAATTATAAAATTATTCTTTTAAAATTAGAAAAAAAAAATATTTGTTATAAAATCTTACAAGATGAGCTATTTAAAAAGGGTTTTTTCCTACTGCACATGCGCTGAAAAGTTTTAAAAAATTGTCTTCACAGTTTTATAGAGAATCGTTTAGGTTTCAAGAACTATGTAAAAGAGGCAGAGTCACTCATATATTACAATTTTTTTACATGTAAAAGAGGCAGAGTTATTAAATTATAGAAGTTAAATTAAAAGTAATTCTAAAAATTAAAATGAGGAAAAATTCAATTTTTATGGAGTATTTCTTTCATTTATTTAACTAGAATACAATAATTTTTTTTTTACAAGTTGTTGCTTTAAACAAAGTTAACTACAATAGAAAATACAAGACAGAAAATACATGAAAACTACAATAACTTATCACGAAAGCAATTTATTTCCTCACTATTATTATTTGATTAAATAAAGCACTATTTCACGAAAAAATTATTTTATTTTCTGAACATTTAATTTCTTTTTTAAGCACTTTAGAAAATAAATAGTTCAATTTCAGTAGTTCTTAGTAAGTTTCGTTTAAGCATCAGCAAATCGGTGAGGAGTACAAATTTTTTTTGTCGTATGCCTATTTAGGCAGTGGGGGTGCGATTGTTCCTGCTTTTCAGTGGCGCCATCTATGGCCAAGAATTCAACTTCTACCACATCATTCACACAACCACAACCCGTTTATAGGGCGAGTCACATTCACACACAAATGAGAAAGGACATAGAACACACACAGAGAGAAAGGAACATCCATGCCTTGCTCGGGATTCAAACGCAGGACCTTTCTGATGCAAGGACATTTTTCTGCCCCTTACACAGACTGGTCGACAGGAGTACATATAATCAAGTACATATGAAATATAAAAAATGATTGGAAAAAATGATTTTATAAAAAAAATGAGCAATATTATATAAGATGGACTCGGTATGATTATTAGAGTGGTGCTAAGTCATATTTGTTTCCATTGTATAAAAGTAATGTGAAACTTTTTTTTAGATGAGATGATGAACAGTAGCCATGCTTCAATGTTGTATTTCACCTTGAAGCTTGACATTAGACTTTTATGTCCAAACAGTAGAAAAAAGTATAACCCATTGCTTATTTTGCCAATGGCCAGAAAGTAAAGCTCTACACATTGAAAGCAAACTAAATTCTTTAAATTGTGAGTCGAGCAGTTAAACTTGACAGTTTGTTATTTCCTAATTCCGTAGGTCATAAATATCAGTCTAGTTCTTTAAATGAATACTTCCTTCAGATTTATAGTTAGTGTCTTTTACGTTGTTGCTGGAGACATGAAAAAGGATATTCTTTTTGCGTTTCTTCATCAAATATTAATCCTGGTGGTGGTATTGGCATTGGGTAAGAGACATAATGTTGTGGAATTGGTATAGAAACTGAAAGAACATTTGAATACTTTACCGATATACGATTTACATAAGAATTGTAATTATCTGCTGTATGGAGCCTGCTTTGGATATTTTCACAAATGATTAAAATATTGTATGGAGTTGCGTGAAAAATTCCCATAAACGTGACTGAAAATTTTGCCAATATCTTCAAAATTAGACGTGATAACACAAAATTAAAATAAGCTTAATAAAATACGTTACAAAAGCAAATACTTTATAACGTGATATCTATAAATATCTATTGTGTCTATGAC